TCTGAGAGGACAGGGCTGCGTGAGGATGAAAGGGGAGCCCCAGAGATCCCCATTCTCAGTTAATGTTCTACCAGAGATACAGAGAATGGGGGCAAGAGCAGGGGCCGGGGCTCTCTGGGTAGGTCAGCTTGGGCTGGTCCACGCTGAGCGCTCAGGGCAGCTCTGGCCACCAGAGGTGGGATGCGGTCTTGGGGCTGGGCTCGTGGGGCACACGTTGACAGCAGAGAGCCCGGGGAACGTGCCCAGGGACAGCATTCGAAATGCTGAATGCGGAAGCCGTGGCCTCTAGGCTGGCTCTGCCACTTCCTAAGCACACAACCTTGGGCGAGTCTCAAATTCATTCAAGCCTCAGTTTTCTCATCTGCAAAAGGGGATTCTGGGGATTGAGCACTGTGCTGTGCTCTATCTCACTTAATCTTCATGGCAACTCTGTGAGGTAAGCACTGTCACATTTCCCATTTTACAGATGAAGAAACTGAGGCCTAGGACAAAGAATATGCACCTAGCTGCGCGTTAGTCAGGCCATTAGCCAGTGCTGGGATTTGTGCTGTGCTGTCTCTCTGTAAAGCCCTTGTCCTCTGCCACTCCTCCAATTGCAATTCCTGCCAGGCCTGGTTCCCAGGATCAATGTGAAGATCCAAGGAGATCACAGCTGACCACAAGGTGTGAGGGGCTCAGCAGGGTTCACGTGTGAGACCATGGCTGTGTGGCTCAAGGCCACTTCTCCCCGGCCCACTTCTCTCCCCGGCCCAGCTCCTGTAGGCCATCCCTGGGGGCAGGTGCAGGCCACTGCCCTCTCTGCCTGCTTCTGCCACTGCTAAACTTTACACTGGGCTCTGTCATTAGCCCAAACAACAAGCTCCCTGTTTGACTAGCCCTGTCCAAATTTGCTCGGCGTAAGCAGGAGCCCCATGGTAAGTAAACGGTTTTCTGTTGATATTTGAGCACAAATGAAGAGGCAGCGAGCAAGCCCATTAATAACCGAGGAGATGATTGTGTTTGCACAAGGCCTGTTTACAGCGTGTCAACTGCCCAGGCAAGGCCCGCCTCCTTATTGATTTCCCGATAAGCCGCTAGGCACTCTTGTTCTCAGCCCTGGCGGGGGCATCCTCTGCACGGTCCGAGGGTTGGATCTCCTTTCCCTGCAGAGGCGCTCAGCCTGGCTCTCAGGTGAGGGTGGAGTTTCATTCATTCTTCATTCATTTATTCAACATGCATGAATCCAGCATCTTTTATACATGGGCCACTCTGCCAATAGCTAAGTCCCTATCTTCATCTAGAAACAGAGCCTGCTCTTGAGCTTATGGGGGGCGGGCGGTGGCAGGGGGGAGCTCAGTCCCTGATACCTCTGGGTAGACATGTGGTCAAAAGTTGAGTCTTTGTGGACCTCTGACCATGCACTGCATGGTACCCCATCACCGTAACACTGCCCATCAGGGTCCTCTACCCTCATTTCATCTTGAATTGACCAGCTGCCTCATCTATGATGGGAGATGGCCCTCTGGCTGGCCCTGGGGGGTGGCATCTCCCTTTACCACATTGTCTTTTAATCCTGAGATCCAACAGGTTCAACTTGGGGATTTCTGGCTTTGGATGGGATAGTTAGTGATGGAGAAGGCTTCAGGGTAGAGCTGGAGACTCAATCATCCTCCCCACTGGAACCTTCCAGATCCTGAGCTTTCCAGGGATATGGCAAAGCAGATCCAGGGCGAGGGTTCTAGGAGGGCTGCCAGGAACCCCAGGCTGAGCCTGTTTGAGAATAATTTCTGGCCTGTTTTGCCGTGGACATCAGGATGACTAAGGCAGTATCCTATCTGATGAGCTCACGGTCTGGTAGAGGAGGTCAATCTGTAAACAAATAACCGAAGAGAAAAAATCATAAAATGTTGAGAATCATGAATCCAGGGCTGAGGGAGCAGAGAGGAAGGTGCTAAAAGGCATGGAGGACTTCCCAGAGGAGGTGACATTTGAGCAGTTTCCTTAAGACTGATTAGATGTTTGTAGAAGCCACAGTGACTGCTCCCACCGGTGGGGAAGGAAAAGAACAGAGTCTGCCACTGACTGCAGTCTTGCAAAGAGATCAAGACTTGTGTCTCTTGACCAGGTTTTGGGGGGAAGATTTTTGTCAGGCAGATCCTTGAGTCAGAATTGGGGGGCTGGGGAGAGATGCCCCTGGAAAAGCATCCTGCTGGACTGGGTGTTGGTGTCCACAGCTTTTCCCCCAGTAGAGTATTCCTGGGAAAAGATGAAGGAGGGTATGGGGATGGGAGTAAGGAGGCCCAGACTGTCATCCTAGCCCTGCCATTAACTGGGAGAAGGGCCTCGCTTCCTGGAGTCTCCATTTCCTGATCTGTAGAATGGAGCTGATCACACCTGCCTCTCCACAAGTGGAGAGGCAGCTGGGGAAGTAGAATAAAAGGCACTATAGAGAAAAGCAGCACAGCACCGAGAACGTCAGTACAGCAAGGAACACAACCCGAGCATCTGTATTTAACCTTGGTCCCTAGATAGAGACACACATCTCACACACTGTGGTCCCTTCTGCATCACACTGATCTCTTCTTGCTGCAGCCCAGGCAGCAGAGCCCATCAGCAAATAACTGAGAAGAAACTGTATTTGCAGGAGCCCAGGGCCAGATGCTGCTGCTGAGGACCAAGGAATTGAGTGAGAAGGATTGAGGATGATGCCTGAGCTGGTCCTGAGGAAGCCAGCCTTGCATTCAATCTTATCTCCCAGGACACAGGGGTCCCTGGCAGGGCTGCTGGTGTGAATACCATGTTTCAGAGGACCCTGAGCTCCTGGGATGAAGGGGGAAATCCAGAGTTCCTCTGGGGACCTGGAAGAGTTCTGAGGAGTGAGAGTCTAGCCTACTCCCTCAGTCTTTTATTCTGGCCCCAAACTACCTCCCTTTCCCTCTTCCATCTTCCAGTTCAGCAGAGGGGCAGCCCTTCTGCTGGGCTGAAACCCCCAGATCAGTGGGTGTCTTCAACCAGATTCTGATAGGGGGGAGAAGAGGAGGTACTGGCAACAATGATCTCCTTTTTACTATCCTCATTGCACACTGCCTTGTACTACTTATTGTCTGTCATTGAGAGCTGGAAAGAACCAACCCCATCAACTCTTGTCTTCTAGCCCCAGGTTAGCACAGCTGTATGAAATGGAAGGCTGTTTGATTATGTATCTGGACCACTTTCCTGGGATGGAGACCTGTCTCTGTACTGGGCACTTGGCCTATATCCAGCAGAAGAAGAGGGCTTTGGTAAGAGAGAGGGAAAACAACAGAAACTCTGTTAGCAATAATCATGCATTTCAGTTACACCATGAATGATGATCAGTATCAGTGCAGTGGTCCCCAACCCTGGCTGCACTTCAGAATTACCTGGAGATTGAAGGTAGTGCCTGGACCTCACCCCAGACCACCCAGGCATTTTTGTTCTGAAAAAGCTGCCCGAGTAGTTTTGATTCATAGTGAAGGCTAAGACCTGTGGAGCTAGAGAAGCTTTCTCTTCTTGGGTATTGTTTCTGGGGGGCTGGTTCCTTCATCCTACATGCAAGACTTGCAGAATCTGAAGCCCCTTTTGATTTCCATCAAGGGGAAAACTGGATGGAAACCACTGCCTGAGTTTCTCAGCCAGAGGTCAGAGGAAGAGGCAGCTGGACCCTGGGAGGGAAGAAGAGAGGCCCGAAGCCTGAGAGGGGCAGGGGAGCAGAAGGACAGAACCCCAGATGTCAGTCAAGGGGGACTTGGCACGGAGCAAAGGAGAGAGCTACTTTGTACTCTCCTCTAGCTTGTGTGCTTGATTGCCTGATGAGAAAATTTCTTTCTTCTTTAAAAAAATTTATTTTGTCGTATAGTTATATACCATGTTGTGTTAATTTCTGCTGTACAGCAAAGTGATTCAGTTATACATATGTATACATTATTTTGCATATTCTTTTCCATTATGGCTTATCACAGATATTGAATATAGTTCCCTCTGCTATATGGTAGGACCTTGTTGTTTATCCATTCTATATATAATAGTTTGCATCTGCTAATCCCGAACTCCCAATCCATCCCTCCCCCATCCCCCTCCCTCTTGCCAACCACAAGTCTGTTCTCTATGTCTGTGAGTCTGTTTCTGTTTCATAGATATGTTCATTTGTGTCATATTTTAGATTCCACATATGTGATATCATATGGTATTTGTCTTTCTCTGTCTGACTTGCTTCACTTAGTCTGATAATCTCTAGTTGCATCCACGTTGCAGCAAATGGCATTATTTCATTCTTTTTTATGGCTGAGTACTATTCCATTGTATATATTGTACCGCATCTTCTTTGTCCATTCATCTGTCGATGGACGTTTAGGTTGTTTCCGTGTAGAAGATTTATTTCTGATAATGGGTTGACCTTCCTGTGCTTCCAGGAAGAGCACAGTTAATGATAACAACTGGGGAGCTACCTTTTGGGGTAGCTGCATTGCGGATGAACACCATTTGGCTGAGCTACTGTTTCCTAAATGCTGGACTTGAGGTGAAGTGGTGGAGATAGAGTCAGCATGAGCCATGGAATATCACTAGAAAGCCATAGGGACATGGACACCCACACTGAGACTGGAATTGCAACTGGGGAAGAAAGAATTGGATGAGCCAGGTGAAGAGCCAACTTCTCACTTAGGTGAGAGCACTAGAAAGAAAAGGCCTTAAAAATTCTTTCATGAAATTATTAGCTGGAAATTTTTTTTTTTTTTTTGGTGGTACGCGGGCCTCTCACTGTTGTGGCCTCTCCTGTTGCAGAGCACAGGCTCCGGACGCGCAGGCTCAGCGGCCATGGCTCACGGGCCCAGCTGCTCCGTGGCACGTGGGATCCTCCCGGACCGGGGCACGAACCCGTGTCCCCTGCATCAGCAGGCGGACTCTCAACCACTGCGCCACCAGGGAGGCCCCAGCTGGAAATTTTTAAAAAGAGTAGCTTCAGAGGACACCTAATTGAAGTTATTATTTTTTTTTTTTTGAAGGGGAGAAGAGGTCAGGGCAGAGATGCAGAAGCTCTGGCTCTTGCCCTGCACCACCATCTGAGGCGAGACCCTTAGGACTTGGCTGCTGATACAGGACTGGATATTGAGAATCAGCCAGCTCTGGAATCACAGGTACTAGCCCACTTTCTTCTGGAAACTGGAATATGAGAGGGAATGAGAGGAAAAGATCTGAGTCATAGTTCGAACCTTTACAGAAATAGCACAGGGTGGTCAACCTTGCATGTAGACGAAGCTGCTGTTTATGACACACAAAGAACTGATGAATGTGCCCCTCACAAGGGAGCTGTTCGTGGACAGAGCCATACAGACTGATGTGTCTTGCAGCTCTGGCTCACTGCCCTGAAATGAGCATATGGCAGCGTGGGAGGAATCGCTTTCTCTCTCGCTCAGCATTGTAACTGGGACCTGCAATATGGGAACTGCAGCTCTTTCAGTGACAGTGGTAAGAGTTGCTTCTGCTCTTCCTTCTGTGCTCTCAGTTGCTCCCTCTCTCCAAATGAGTTGATGAGATGGGAAGAGGGGCCTGGGCACCCTCCCTTCTCTCCTGTCAGGGCTGTCCTGTCTGCAAGGAGCCTGCATTCCTCTCTTCCTCAGTGGGGCAAAGGGAAAAGACTTGAGGTTCAGAGGGTAAGGTTCAATTCCAAGCAAAAGCATTAAGAGCCCAACTGTGGTGTAGATCCAAGCTATGCCTCCAACCCAGGCTTTTCAGCACGAAAGCTGGTGGTTCTTTCTGCTCCCATACAGGGAACTGATACTTGAGACAGGCAGCAAAGGACGGACACATCAGGTTGGGGAGAGGAAGCATTGCAGGAAGAGAAGGCAGCAGGAGCAAAGTGGGGAGGTACCCAGAGTGCTAGCAAACAAAGCTGAAAGGACAGGCTGGGGCAGACCACACAGGGCCTTGGATGCCAAGCTGGGGAGTTTGAGCTTCATTGGACAGGTATATGGGTAACCACTAATGTTTATGCCAAGACATGACAAATATCAGAATTGTGAGACTCTAAAAGCTTGGCTGCCGATAGGATGGGAAGAACAAGGGAGAGTAAGGCATCGTGAAGAACTCCAGGGTTTCAAATTTGGCTGCTAGGGAGATGTGGTGGCATTCTGAGAAGCTGGGAAGTGAAGAGGAGGAACTGGGTGGGGTGGGGAAAAGACGATGGCTTTGGCGCCAGACATTGGGGTTTGAGCTGTTATAAGGATAACCAGAGAGAAGGATCCAGAAGAACCCTCAAGAAGGGAGACTGGTTATTTGTAGTGAGGTAGATGGACCTAGAGTCTGTCATACAGAGTGCAGTAAGTCAGAAAGAGAAAAACAAATACCGTATGCTAACACATATATATGGAATCTAAAAAAAAAAAAAGGTTCTGAAGAACCTAGGGGCAGGACAGGAATAAAGACGCAGATGTAGAGAATGGACTTGAGGACAGGGGGAGGGGGAATGGTAAGCTGGGATGAAGTGAGAGAGTGGCACGGACATATATACACTACCAAATGTAAAATAGCTAGCTAGTGGGAAGTAGCCACATAGCACAGGGAGATCAGCTCTGTGCTTTTGCTTTGTGACCACCTAGAGGGGTGGGATAGGGAGGGTGGGAGGGAGATGCAAGAGGGAGGGGATATGGGGATATATGTATATGTATAGCTGATTCACTTTGTTATACAGCAGAAACTAACACACCATTGTAAAGCAATTATGCTCCAATAAAGATGTTAAAAATAAATAAATAATAAAGAAGGGAGACTGGGGCTTTCTCAGGAGGTGAGGGGGCCTGGAGATTTAGACATAAGTCATCTTTACACACAAACAGGCCACTGGGAGAAAGGGTGAGGTGAGAAAGCATGGCTGGAGGTAGAGCCAGTGGGAGCACACACGTGGGCTTGGTCGGGGAGGAGTTGTGAGAGGAGCCCCCGGCAAGCAGCAGTGCAGGGCTGCTGAAATCAAGGGTTGGCAAGTTAAAGGTTGCGTACCTGGAACTGAGCTTAAGCAGAAGGGGGTTGTCCAGAGTGAGAAACGCCACTCAGAGGTCACGGAGGATGAGGACTGAGAACAACTCGCTGCATGTGGTCACTGGGAGGCGATTAGTGGCCTCAGCCCTATTATAGCCTGGCTGGGGTGGGAGACAGATTATGGGAGTTTGAGGGGGCAAAGAGGTGGTGAGGAAGAGGAGGGGCTGGGGCAGACCCTGCCGTGGAGCTGGGAAGGGAAGGGGAGAGAGGAGCAGAGCTCAGTAACGCAAGGGAGAAGCAGTGTGGGGCAGCGTTTGGCATCTGTAGGATGATGTAGGAGTGGGAGGGGGGGGGAGGGGGGATGGCTTGGGGTGAGTAGCTTGTGGTTTCCTCACTGGAATCCCTCATGGGAGTGTGATGCCTCCTTTCTCCCAGCAGGATGTGGGCAGCAGGCCACATGGCAGCAGTGGTAGGGACAGCAGCTACCTTAGCAAAGCTGGCTGGCTGCCTGGGTAGCTGATTGCATGATGGGTGTGAGGACGAGTCTCACTGGGGAGCAGTTGGGCTGGAGAAACAGACCTGTTTCTCTATGCCCATGAGTGGTGGCTTCATTCAGGGCTACTGGGAGGGGATTGTGTTCATTCCCTTTTATCCATGCACCCGTGTCCTTGCTCCACACCCACCGTGAGGCAGTAATCACAGCTGCTCACCTGCTGTCAGTGCTTGCCCCACCTTTAATTCCCAGCGGCAGGCGGACTCTCAACCACTGCGCCACCAGGGAAGCCCAACCCCTGACCATCTTTTCAACCTGATTTGGATTTCCCCTCTCACTCATGTCCCCCAGCATTCCAGTCTCGCCAGGCATCTCCTTGTTCTTTGAACAGTTAGTTATGCTTTTGCAAATGCTGAGCCCAGTGCCTGGGATAACCTTCTCTCATCTCACCAATGACTCCTGCCCGTTGTTAAAGACGCAGCTCATAGGTCAACCCCTCTAGAAGCTTTCCTGGCTTACCCACGCCTTCCTTGGGTATCCTATCGCGGACACTGTTGGTAGTTTACCCATTACTCATCTCTAAGTTTTAAAATTTATGACAGACCCTGATTTCAGTTGGGTACTCACCACTCTTCCACACAGTCCGTGGCTTTAGGGGAAGCTGACTCCTCATGACTCCCAAGCCTCAGAGGTGAGTCTGGTCTAAAATAAACCCAGTCCCCTTGCCCGTGGTTGGTTCAGGAATTGAGAAGGTACCCCACATTTGGGCCAGTTAGACACAAAAAGAGATAGACCAAGGACCTTCTGGAAAAGGTCTTCTTACTTCTAGAAGACAGCTACAAAAGAGAAAAATCTACCCTCTTTGTGTGCTGCATGGCACCAAGTCTAGAAGAGATGGCTTGAACTGCCCCAGCTGATCTTGTCACCAGACTAAAGATGAAACCCAGACCGGGGAAAGCAAGGAGAGGCGGAAAGGAGCTGGGCTCCCCGTCGCATCACTGAGCCCTTGAGGAAGCCAACTCTGGATCCTGCCTTAGTGCTGGACTTCCTGCTGCATAAGAGAATACATTTCCCTTTTTATTTAAGTCATCTTGAATGAGGATTTTTGTGACTTGCAGCCAAATACATGCTAACTGACACAGTTCCAATAGTACTTTTGCACCCCTGTGAGATCATATCATATTCCAGGCTGCGAGAGTCTCAGAAGCAGACTGTCATATACGTAGCTCCGTCCCTGGTTCCTAGCACTGTGCCTTGGAATACCAGTCCCCATGTGGATTGAATGAGTGAATGCATGAACTCGAGCCTTACTTGGACTTACTCCTTAGGGCAGTGGTCCCTACCTTTTTGGCACCAGGGACCGGTTTCGTGGAAGACAGTTTTTCCGTGGATGGAATGGGGCAATGGTTCAGGCGGTGATGCCAGCGATGGGGCGCGATGGGGAGAGGCAGATGAAGCTTCGCTTGCTCGCCCGCCGCTCACCATCTGCTGTGCGGCCCTGTTCCTAACAGGCCGAGGATCGGTACCGGTCTGTGGCCAGGGGGTTGAGGACCCGTGCCTTAAGGTGTTCTGCCATAGAGTCTGCTTTATTATCAATTCCCTCCCTCTTCCAAAAGTTGCAGGTCCTTCACAAGCATGCTGTCCCTACTCCCTTCTTGGCATGGGTGACACAGGACAGAGAAAATCCAGGCTCCAGGGATTTGCTTGTTGCCATACAGTGTGCAGGTATCAGAACAGGGCCCATGGATTGGGACTCCTGGCTTCCAGACTGGCACCTACATGTGCCAGGACCTATGTTGAGGCTGTAGAGACAAATGACATGCAGTCCCTGCCTTCACAGGCCTTACTCTCCAGTCGGACAGATACATGAGGAAACATAGTCATAGGTTCTGTACAGTTGCAGCTGGTGTGAACCACTGCATAAACCTGGGGCACATTTTAAGATCTGGTTGCCCGAGAGTACACCTTCCTGATTAGCAGTTAGTCTGAGACCTCTCTCTTGAAGTCCCCCCCAAACCCCTTGAATTGTCCAGTAATCCTGGTGGTATACTCGCTCAGTCCAGATAGGATTGCATAGCCCACAGGCTCTTGTCCTTTGATCCTAAGGCCCCTGCCAGACCGCAGTGGGGCCCCCAACTTGGTCTTCAAACCTTCAGCACTCATGGATCAAACTCACATGCTCAGCCATTGTTATCAATACCAGAATTAGAAACTGCCTGAGGCTCTCTGGGTCTGGAGGAAGTTTTGCACCACCCACACGGTTTCCCCAAACCAGCCCTCTCCCAGCCCCTTCTGTGTCCTTAACTTGGGCCTAGGTTACTCACCTGGACACCTGCTTATGGTAATCCTAAGATAATTCTAGTTTAGGGGACTGGATTTTACAGGCCATTAGTCCAGCCACAGATCTCCCTGATTCCTGAGTCTTGGGGAGCAGACATTAGGCAGTTCATCTATCTCTTGCCTCCCAAGAGGCACTGCTTTGTTACATAAATTGAGCGTCTGCCCCAGCAATCAAACGGTAAGGCAAATTTTGCTAAACCACTAAAACAAAACAACCCCCCCCAATACAGGTTTTGTTATATTCTGATCCTTCAAACGATGAACTCCTTCAGACTTCATCTTTGCAAAAGTAACAGGATTCCTCAAGTGACCCTGGGCAGAACAAAGATCAGCTTCTCAAGGACAGAGAAGAGGAACAAGGGAAACAAGGTTAGTAACAAGGGTGAGTGGTGAGTCCTTTCCAGGGTGGGTGTGTGGAGCGAAGGGAGACAAAGGAGAAACACTTCAGAAAAGTGAGACCTTAGCAAGCACTGCTCTCCCCCAACTTTGTATCATGGAAAATGTTAAGCATACAGAGAAGCTGAAAGAAGATTCAGTGAACACTCCACCCAACACCTAGATTCTACTCTCACCATGTATTATACTTGTTTCATTACAAACTCATCCATTCATCTCTACATCCATTCATCAATTAGCTTTACTAATAGCTTTGCTGTTAATTTTATTTACACCATAAAGCTCACCCATTGTAAGTGTGGAATTTCAGTGATTTTTGAAGGTTGAGCAGTTGTGCAACTCTCACCACAAGCCCCTTCTAGAACACTCCCACCAGCCCCAGAGGCCCTGCGTGCCTGTGTGCTGTCAATTACGGCTCCTTCCTTCGGGACAAGGCAACAACCAGTCTGCTTTCTGCCTCCGTGGGTTTGCCTTTTCTGGAAATTTCAGGTAAATAGAATCATACAATACATAGTCTTCTGTGTCTGGCTTCCTTCACTTAGCATAATATTGTTGACGTTCACTCTTGGTGTTCCATGTGACAGTAGTTTGTTTCTTCTGATTGCTGAGTTGTATTCCATTGGATGGATATACCACAGTTTGTTTATACATTGTCTGGTTGATGGACATTTGGGATTGTTTCCAGTTTGGGGCTATTATGAATCACGCCGCTGTGACCCTTCCTGTGCCAGCCTTTGTGTGGACATATGTTTTCTTTGCAAGGTTTTAAAGGCTAAGTAGGAGCTGACTAGGTCGTTAAAGCCAGAGGAAAACATCCTGGGAGAAATGCCCAATATGTGCAAAAGCTCAGAAAATGAACGTGCCTGGTATACACAGGGGATGATAGTAGTTCAGTACTGTAGGGAAAGAAAACTCTCTTTTCCTCTGCCCATCTTGGGTTCATTGCCTGGGGCCCTGAAAATTAGACTGACAGAAGACAGATTAAGGAGAAAAAAACAGAGTTTATTAGGTCATGCATAGACATGTGGAAGAACTCAGTGGTGAGTAACTCAAAGAGGTGGTCAGAACTGGGGCTTTTTTTTTTTTCTTTTTTGGGTGAAGTAGAAAAGAATAGCTTTATTGCTTTGCGAGGCAAAGGGGGCCACAGCAGGCTCACGCCCTCAAAACTGTGTCCCAACCTGGAAGGGGTAGTGAGGAGTTTTACAGTAATGGTTCAAAGAGGAGGGTGTGATCAGCTGGTGGACATTCTTCTGATTGGTTGGTGGGGAGGTAAGCGGGAGTCGGCATCGTCAGCCTTCTGGTTCCAACCATTCTGGGGTCCACCTGCTTGTGAGCAGCACACAGTTAACTTCTCCCACCTGGTGGGGTTCGGTATCTGGTTTCAGGACTTAATGAAGCTCAGGTTCTTGATGTCTCATTGCAGAAAGAATTCAGTGAGAGAGCGATAGGTAAGAAGTGGATTTAGGGCTTCCCTGGTGGCGCAGTGGTTGAGAGTCCGCCTGCCGATGCAGGGGACGTGGG